TCACTGAGTGAGAAGGAAGATGATGGCTTACTTTTTGGAGACGTATTAACCATTTCATGCTGCTCAAGTGTCATTGAGTAAATTACTTTTTCTACTGCATAAATAATAGTTCAGTGGATTAAATAAGTTAATACACTTAAAAATCACTACTTAAAGGGGTAGATTCATTTTTCTGTTAAAGATTGACCAATTCAGGAAATATCATTTAAAATTAACTGTGCCCCGAGGCTCTGCCTCAAAAGGAAAAAAATTTTAAAAAGTCAGACATGGTGGCATGTGCTTGTAATCCTAGCTACTCAGGAGGTTGAGACACAAGAATTGTTTGAACCCAGGAGGCAGAGGTTGCAGTGAGCTGAGATCCCGCCATTGTACTCCAGCCTGGGCAACACAATGAGACTCTGTCTCAAAAAATAAAATAAAAATAAATAAATTAATTAATTAAATTAACTGTGCCCCATGTGAATACATTGTTGTAAATAACAGAGATATCACGGTGGAATTGTTTTTCTTTCTTTATATACTATTTCAAAGATAAGAGTTTCAGCATAGCTTGAATTTTACTGTGTTACTTAAAAATCAAATGCACATACCGAGTAAATGATGAAATAGATTAGTAGGGAAGAGACAGATTGAGTTAGGATGGAGATCATGCCCATATTGTCCACTGACAAGGTCTTTTATCATAAAGAAGCAATCTGTGGCCTGAGATTTCTGCTCAAGGCATTGCTCAAATCATTTCTAATATCCCAGTAAAAATATAGTGTCATTGAAGTCATATTTCCACTATAGTTACATTATCAAATTAACTATTTTGGTCTGGTAGTTACTCTAATATCAGCTTCACATCCACATTTTCCAGTGGTTGTTAAAAGATTGTGAAAATTAAGTAAGCACTGCACTTCATTAGTTTAAACAAGCCCGAGGGACTTGCCTGTTCCTGATTTGCAGCGAGAGGATCCCCTTGAGATTCAGGCTCTACTGCAGTCAGCACTGTGGCACTGCGAAGTTTACACATATTAAGAACAAAACATATCCCAAAGTATAAGATCATCTGATTCTCATTATATTTAATTTTAAAAATTAATAACTCTGAATATGATAAGAAGTAATTATAAAAGGTAGTTCAAAGTTTTTCTTCTGTATCAGGCTGCACAGACCAATAAATTTTTAACCTATAAATACTCTTTTCATATTTAAATTTAAATTAGTTTTTGTAAGAGAATGGCAGTCAGTTGACGACATTTATTTTTTATGTGTTGCTGCTCTGATGAAATATAATGTGCATTTCATTAAATATTCCTTGATATTACTATCAGACTCCATACCCATTTCTAAAAAATGATTTAGATGGCATACTTTATCAGTATCTTTTCTGAAGGATTATCTGTGCGTGTTTCCTATTAGAAACCATTGGCATTTCCTTTGGCTTTGTAATCAAAGGTTAACATTAATTCTCTTCAGTTTAGATTATTATGGAGTAAAATATGGAGGGTATAAAATGTGGATGATTATAATAATGATGACTCCTCAGATATAGTAGTTTCAGCCTTTTTGAAAATTCTGAGCGTGATATAGTGCTGAAAATAATATTAGAATGCATGATTATATGGTTAAAATGTTTTGGTCTATGCTATAGTATTTGTAGGTTGTTTTAAGAAGGTGATCTCTCTTATCACCTTAATTTCTTATTTATTCAGAAAGTCTTTGAGGTTCTAGAATTTTTATTAAGAATTAGAATTGTTCTGGATATCACAACTTTTGCTAAGAATTTTAGCTGATCACACATTATACTTGTCACAGAAAACTGACTAAAGTCTGTGTATGATTTTAGATTACACACATATAGAAATTTAGCTGCTTTATTACCCCCTCAAACTCACAATCACTTAATATTTAAGGTATTTTATGGTTTTAAAGTATGTCGCTGATTTAACACACATCAAATATTAATCAAGTAGAATGTGTTCCACATTT